GAGAGTCAGAATAACGTTCCCAGCTCAGCCCGTGGGCGGAGCGCCCCAAACAGGATGCTATGAGGGTATCGGAGGAGCTGATGGGGCTGACAGTGTTGAGCGGAGGCTTCCACATCAGCAACTGGGGTGCTCTGTGGAGGGGGCTCCCCCCACTCTCTGTGACTGCAGGAACCTTTCTCCAGAGAGCCCTTGCCCTTCCCCTACCAGCATAAGTGTGAGTGCCGGGAGATAGGGGCAGGCTGCTGCTGGCCCTGCTGAATGTTACGGGGCCTCCCTGGTGTGAGGCATGGTCCCTGGAAAGCCTTGCAGCTGGTGAGGTTTCCACGCTGTGCTACGTGTCTTGAGATGCTATTGCCATAAAGAGAAGAGCTGAAGCCATGGGCCTGGCTCCATCTGCACAAAGCAGGGTGGGTGGTACCTGAACCAGCCCCTGGGCTCCATGGCTTGGGAGACTGGCAGAGATCAGGGAAGGTTGATATTTGGAGCAAACTGGTTCAGGGAAACCTACCTGAATGGTGGGCATAGGGCAGGAGCAGACTGGGGTGGGAACCTACATGCAGAGAGACCTAAATGAATTCAGTGTTTAAAACTCAGTCTTCACTTTCTAACACCAAGTATTTCCTTGAGCAGAGACCACGCACCCAGCACAACTTCAGTTCCAGTCATCCCCTCGGGGGCTCCTGCAGGAGCCCCCTTATTCTCGTCTCTCACACACGTGCTCACTTCTGGCCAAGCTATCCTGCTGGCTCTGGGAGCTTAGACATGGCTCGCCCTGCACGCTGGTAACACGGACTCCCAGGCAGTGAGAAAGGTAATACAAGGACCTGCCTCCCGTCTCAGAGAGGGAGGGTTCCGCAGGGATAAAGGAATTCAGAAAACGAGAGTATGGTGCCTCCGAGTAACTCAGAGTCTGTGACTGGGCTGCTTTAACTGGTCATAGAATCATAGAATATCAGGGTTGGAAGGGACCTCAGGAGGTCATCTAGTCCAACCCCCTGCTCAAAAGCAGGACCCATCCCCAATTAAATCATCCCAGCCAGGGCTTTGTCAAGCCCGACCTTAAAAACTTCTAAGGAAGGAGATTCCACCACCTGCCTAGGCAACGCATTCCAGTGTTTCACCACCCTCCTAGTGAAAAAGTTTTTCCTAATAGCCAACCTAAACCTCCCCCACTGTAACTTGAGACCATTACTCCTTGTCCTGTCCTCTTCCACCACTGAGAATAGTCTAGAACCATCCTCTCTGGAACCACCTCTCAGGTAGTTGAAAGCAGCTATCAAATCCCCCCTCTTTCTTCTCTTCTGCAGACTAAACAATCCCAGTTCCCTCAGCCTCTCCTCATAACTCATGTGTTCCAGACCCCTAATCATTTTTGTTGCCCTTCTCTGGACTCTTTCCAATTTATCCACATCCTTCTTGTAGTGTGGGGCCCAAAACTGGACGCAGTACTCCAGATGAGGCCTCACCAATGTCAAATAGAGGGGAACGATCACGTCCCTCGATCTGCTCGCTATGCCCCTACTTATACATCCCAAAATGCCATTGGCCTTCTTGGCAACAAGGGCACACTGCTGACTCATATCCAGCTTCTCGTCCACTGTCACCCCTAGGTCCTTTTCCGCAGAACTACTGCCTAGCCATTCGGTCCCTAGTCTGTAGCGGTGCATTGGGTTCTTCCGTCCTAAGTGCAGGACCCTGCACTTATCCTTATTGAACCTCATCAGATTACTTTTGGCCCAATCCTCCAATTTGTCTAGGTCCCTCTGTATCCTATCCCTGCCCTCCAGCGTATCTACCACTCCTCCTAGTTTAGTATCATCCGCAAATTTGCTGAGAGTGCAATCCACACCATCCTCCAGATCATTTATGAAGATATTGAACAAAACTGGCCCCAGAACCGACCCCTGGGGCACTCCACTTGACACCGGCTGCCAACTAAACATGGAGCCATTGATCACTACCTGTTGAGCCTGACAATCTAGCCAACTTGGTCCATATAGATAAGTGCTGACCCAAGCCTCCTTCCCACCCCAAACCTTTATCCTCCCAGCAGCCCCCTGGGACAAAGTATTCTTCATCGATTACCTCTCCCCAAGGAGCCACCCAACACCAGAGCACAGACAATACACGTCTTGGTCACTTGTACTGGCCGCACTAGGCACATAAGCCGGGGAAAAGAGGGGGAAGGTTCATAATCAAAACGCTACAGTCATGGTGAGGTATCTTCCTTGTGATCACCCCAGTCAAACATTTGGCTCTGCTTCGACACTATGCACCCCCGATTTATCAGCTGAAAAGCAGCGCTTGCTCTGAAAGAGCACAACAGATTGTGGAGGGAGGAAATCATCCTGATTTGCATCTGCTTACTCCTCTGATTGCAGTGATGGTGACTGATACTCACTGATACCAGTAACCCGGGAAAATAGGATTTTCTGTACAAGATCAGATCACTGGGCCATCTAATCCAGTATCCCACTTCTAGCAGCGGCCAATATTGATGATGAAGTGGAAGGAAACCAACACAAACAACATGAACATACACATAACCATTTCTCCCAAGGAGGGGAATACACCTTCCAGATCCCTCTAACTCATCTGCATATGCCCTGAAACATGGGCTAGGATTACCCCACTTCAGCTTGAACTGATAGTAATGGTGATAAATTTACCCATCCCTTGCAGAAAGCCTGCCTCCGCTTGGCCTCTCAGCCCTCCTGCAGCAGTGAATTCCACAGGGTGACCATACAGCACAAGGAGAAATCTTTATACTTGTCTTAAAATTTAGCAGGCATTAAATACCTGATAGGTTTTCATGACATCCTTCATAATTCTCAACACCACAGTCAAACCCTGTGCATGCTGGTATTTCCCATTTCTCTTCTGCTTCAATCTCGCCCATCACACTCCCAGCCACCAATGGCACTCATCTGCGTCCACGCTCTCTACCATTGCCGTCTGCACCCCTACAACACATTCACTTTCACAGGTCCGTAGAGCTTGGTAATCCCCAGTGCAGCTTCCTACGCAGAATGCTCACTTCCGTCGCTGCTCTTCCTCATATGGATGTGGAAATAGTCAAAGTAAGTCGTGTTAAAGAGAGAACCCTTGATTGTCCCATATACCATTCTCTTACGGCACCCCTAGTTATCCTAGGTTTGGACCAGGTGCTGAACCCCCACAATAGCAGATGTCTCAACCCTCATTCCTTGGATGGACCCTACTGAAATCCACTGGAGTTTGGCCATGGGACTGGGTCTAGTGGCATCAGAGGGTGCTCTCGTCACCCACTGGGAGCACTAACAGCTCACCCTCTCGCCTCCTGCCAGCTGGAGAGGGTAGGGGATCTAACTGAACATCTCCCTGGCCTGGCCTCAGAGCCTCTGCTCCTACCCCTGGGCCTCTGCTCCTACCCCTGGGCACCTGCTCCTACCCCTGTGACTCTGCTCCTACCCCTGGGCACCTGCTCCTACCCCTGGGCACCTGCTCCTACCCCTGTGCCTCTGCTCCTACCCCTGTGCCTCTGCTCCTACCCCTGTGCTATCACAAAGAGCCATGCTTTGGACAGCCGGTTTCCCGGGCGTGCACACATCTGGGAATATTTTAAAATGTCTGTGTTAATTTCCGTACCACTTCGTCCACAGAGTCTTTTCAACAATGCAGCAAATGAACACAAGTGCTCAGGGAGCTGGCCTGCCACCCATCACTCCAGCCTTTTAATAAATCCTGTGAGGACTTCCTAGTCCCATTCAGTGGATCACTGTGATGGGCACTGTACACAATCCACATCCATCTTAATCCCGGCGTTGTACCAAAGCTTGTGGGAATTTTTCTAGCATCCAAAAAAATCAAAGGCCTTTTACTTCCTCAGCTCATGTGCAAATCATATGAATTCCTCCTTGTGTAGCACAGGACTTGAAGCACTGTTAATGAGGGGTAGCAGTCACTGTAAACAGCACAGCATACCTCTCGACCTGCCAGGCCCCAACAGGAGATGCAAGGCCTGATAAAAGCCCAGAATGATGGACACAAGAAGAGAGTTCCTAACTGTCACAATTTTATTATACATCTTACAACATTTGGTGTTTTCCTGAGGGTATGTCTACCCTAGAAATTCTATAGCGGGACAGCAGCAACGGAAGGCGTAAATCCACCTCTCCAAGAGTTGGTACCTAGGTTGATGGAAGAATCATGTTTTTTACACTGGTGCTTAGGTCAGCTTAATCACATCACACAGGGCATGCAATTTTTCACAGCCCTGAGCAATGTAGTCAAGCCAACCTAACTTTGCAGTGTAGACCAGCCCTTAAAGCCCCAGCTTCTTGAGTCATGTGATTACATGAAAAAAAAGTCAGCTTTCATTTAAAATACTATTTTTAGCCCTCATGTTTGCAGAGAAAAGCTTAAAACCATAACTTAAGTGTCCCCCTGAAGCCACAGAAACCAGAAGGCAAATACAAACGAGCTCCAAACTTAGTTATTTGTTAAATGTCATTATTTTGTAGGTCTAGTTATGATTTTTCAATGCTTATGGTTAACAATACCACATAAGCATCACTACTGCAGGGAAGTTAACATGCTGCGGGATACCTTCCCTTAGTGCAAATAACACTCTGTGTAACCTCAGATTCATGGTTCATTATGTCTTGTGTAAATAATTTTCACCAATAAAAGTGAAGAGGTATACACTTTGGGTAGAACGTCATTAATGTGGGGATTAAAATGGACGATGTCCCCCAAAACGAGGGCCAGAGGAGAAGTACACTGCATGTCAAGTGACTTGGAAGGGCATTGCTCTTTGTTCTGTTCAGCTGTTGGGAGATCTTGAAATGTTTTCTATTTGTCCCAAAATAAATCAATGGGAGGCAACACCATTAGGGAAATGAATCCTGCTGTCAGAATTACACCAGCATGTCTTTATCTGTTTGTCCATTGACGAAAAAGTGGTAGCCATGACAAAAAAGAACAAAAAGGACACTTTTAGTCATGGAGAGACTACTTACTTCTTTCAACTTTTGTTTCCAGAAGAAATGTCCTTTTGACACGACAGACAGAGCTCGTGATGAGGCACTTTATTTTGTTCAAAGATTCATAGTTTTCGAGGCCGGAAGGGACCACTGTGATCATCTAATACATCCCCTGTATAACACAGGCCAGAGAACTTCCCCAAAATAATTCCTAGAGCAGATCTTTAAAAAAGAAGAAGAAACGAAATACAGACAATATAAATATAGACTTTTACAAATTGTGACAAAGTTCCTCCTCTACCTTGGTGGGTCTTGCACTTATTGGTGGATTTGCTCGCCTTGGAGCTTCACAGCAGCCCTCAGCTTGGCCGTTTTTCTGAACCCACAGTCCAGGTCAACTCCTCCTGTGTCTGACCAGGAGTTGGGAGGATTTGGGGGGAACCCAGGCCCGCCCTCTACTCCGGGCTCCAGCCCAGGGCCCTGTGGAATGCAGCTGTCTAGAGTGCCTCCTGGAACAGCTGTGTGACAGCTACAACTCCCTGGGCTACTTCCCCATGGCCTCCTCCCAACCCCTTCTTTATCCTCACCACAGGACCTTCCTCCTGGTGTCTGATAATGCTTGAACTGATGCTTGTACTCCTCAGTCCGCGTTCTCACTCTCAGCTCCTAGTGCCTCTTGCTCCCAGCTCCTCACACACACACCACAAACTGAAGTGTGCTCCTTTTTAAACCCAGGTGCCCGGATTAGCCTGCCTTAATTGATTCTAACAGCTTCTTGATTGGCTGCCGTCATTCTAATCAGTCTATCTGTCTTGTCTCCAGAAGGTTCCTGATTGTTCTGGAACCTTCCCTGTTACCTCCCAGGGAAAAGGGACCTACTTAACCTGGGGTTAATATATCTGCCTTCTGTTACTCTCCTGAAGCCATCTGGCCCGACCCTGTCACAATATAAATATAGAATGTCATAGTTCTTGTCAGCACAAACAGAGAAAGAGAAGGTCCTTGCAATCTAGTTCAGGCACAATGGGTGGGATTATCCAGTGTTCAGACCAACTCTGCTTCCTCCCTTTACTACAGACTTCAATGGAAGTTGAGTCAGGCCAATGCTGAGTGCTCTAGAGAGCCCCTCTTCCCTCCCCCCACTGACATACCTAGCATGGGCCAGATTGATGATAACATGAACAGTCAGTTGAAGAAGTAGAGACGCAGTGTTTTCAATTATTTCAATTTGGTTTTGGTTCTCCTTCCCTCTCTATACCACTTATGTCCATAAACAAACAGCAGGAACCCCCTACATCTTTCTCACCATTAACCCCCTGCCTGGTCTCCATTAGTGGTGGGCATGTGATAGAGAATATCATGATAATTCATCCTCGCCAGGAAACGAAGCCTTCTGCAATGTCTGGAACATGTCTGACGTGGTCATTGTCAGAACACCCCACTTTGGGACAAAGTTAATATACATCAAAAGAACAGCGCACAATACTGTACCACTTCCCTGCTAATAATGAGCTAAAATTAATACATTTGAAATTTAATAAACCAAATATAGAGCAATGCACAGAGGAAGGAATATTCAGCTGCACAAATCTAAAATGCAGGCAACTCATTAAGCAGTAGCATCACAGAAAATGAGCTCGGAGATATACATTGAATGAGTCATGGCAATAGTCTAGGAACAAGACAAAAGCTATGTTGGGTTGCAGTTTATTAATAGTGGTATCATAAGCAAACCAACCAAGGTAATCACTCCTCTCTCCCTCTTTACAAGACGTCTGACTGGTAGGGGAACCATTCAGATACTGCAATTAGTTTGGGGAAATGCAATTTTAAAAAGATGCAGACAAATTGGAACTGTTGCAGAGAACAACAAAAGTGACAAATGTCTTGAAAAGAGAGATCTACACAATGATGAAAAATAAAGAGATCTGGCCATGTTCATTCCAGACAAAAAGGCTGACTGAAAGACAGGAGAGACAAACAAGTGTCACAGAAAGGGCAGGAACTGGTTAGTTTCGTTGGATGTTCAGGACAGAATAAAGAAAAATGGGCTTAAGATGCAGCTAGGGAAATTGTGGTTGAATCTAATGAAGAGCTGCATCAGTGCAAGAACAGTTGGGAGACAGAGCATGCTGCCAAGAGGGGCTATGGAGCTGCTTTAATTTGAGATAATCAAGGACTCTGGGTGGTTTACGGCCAAAGAAATCACTTGCCATAATGCAATTGGAGGATACATGGCCCACTGGACAGCCATCCAATCTAACCCTAATATGTTAGGGAGGACAGTTATGCAGAAGCTAATATTGGCATAAAGAGCCTCTGTCTTACAGGTGTCCAAAGAAAAAGCATTTAGCCAGCCCTTACCACTTTGGGCCAGGACTATCTTGGCCCCCTTCCTTTTCATGTCTCTGCTCCATAGGGAGTGGCCAAAGACAAAGGAACCAGACTAAAACCTGATGCTGCAGAACAGGGAGTGTCAGCCATCTGAGACCAGTCTCTGAGAAAGAGAGATCTGCCCACCTTCCCTTTCTCTACAAAGGGCAGGTCTGGGTAAGCAAAGCAGGTATCTGTTATTTTGCTCTATTTCTCTCATGAAGGCTCTTAATCGAATAATAACTTTACAGACTATGTGATACTACAGCTCATTAGGCCCAAAAGGTTTGGCTGTATAGCTGGACCTCTCACGGCTTATCCTAACCAAGCCTTTCTTAGTTTGCCAGTTGCTAGTGCTTATTACATTTCTCAAAGCTATCCAGAACATTTCAAATCGTTATTAACATCTGCATCACTCATTATTTCACAGCAGTGCTACATCAGCTCTTACCATCCACATTCTGCCCCCAGATTTATAAATAAGCAGGTCGATTATCATTTGGAATGCTCCTTGTGTTATTCTGCTACACTGAAATACGCTTTGCTTTGAGAAAGTATTTGGTCTCTCAAGTACATCTGTGCCTCCCCACCCAGTACCTGAGCACCAAGACTCGGTGTTTCTCGCCATGCTGACTCTGGAGGAAACTGCCTGTTTCATCCTTCACATTTTACAGAGGAAGGGTCAAATTCTAATTGCAAAGCCAACTCCATGGACTTTCGTGGCGTGGATTCAGACGATGGCGAATCTGGCCCCTGGCGCTCATGCTGGTTTCCCCCAGCTCCTGCAACAGCACGCCCCCGTGATTCATCGGTGCTACTAGAGAAGCGGTGGTCTCAGAAACCAAAGGAATTTCCATAACAAGTCTAAGACATTTTAGAACAACAATTATCCACCAAGGAATGGCCACAGCAATAAATTAGACAGTTCCAGTGCACATGCTTGTATATCTAGAAGAAGGCAACCATGACTTGTTGGACTTGGAACCATGAAGACATTGCACAGGCAGAATACAAAACGTGGAGTTCAAGGGTTGTAATGGGGTAGGAACTGACCTGGGTTACATAAATCGAAAACAGGGGATTTGCAGCTCCTTCTTCTCTAAAACTGTCTCAAAAGCTCAACGATGCCTTTCTAGAGAACACAGAGGACCTAGACTCATTTGCATCATAGACTGAAGATGAATCTTGCCCAATTTGTTTTTGCTCAATACTGAGGAAAATTGTTCAAGTGGACATCAAGTGCGAAGAAGACTGGGGCTCTGTGAATTTAAGGAATACCCTTGGCATAGAACTAACTGAGCAAGTGCCAGGCTGCGAGCAGAAAAGATCTGTTGTACCTGTTTCTGTTCATGTTGTCCTTAATCATCGTCTTAGGCAGAAGATTTTTGAAGATTGTGAAGGTTGTGTTATAGATGTGCCAGGCCAGCAGCATCATGACTGTGTGAATTGGTCTTCAGAGGATATGAACTGCAGGCTTCAGATCCTGCGTGCTGATCCGTGTTTAGAAAGCTTATTAAATGTGGATATTGCAATAGGCTATGCAATGTATGATCTGTGCTTAACCCAGGAAAATGCTGTGCAAAGCATTCACAACCCTAACAGTGTTTTAAAACAAAATTACCGAATCAAAGGACACCCACTTCATATATTATATTGATCACCTGATCTGCACAAAAAGTAACAGAACCCTGCTGAGGAAAACCTTATTGACTAATTTATATTTATATGAAATCTAAAATGATTAAGTTAGAGACTGGTGAGGGGACAAACAGGAGATAAAATATAATAAAACTTGATGTCTGTTAGTAAAAATACCTATTGAAAAGCTTTTGTGAATATCTGTTTCCGTAATTTACAAGGTCTGTGTGGTCCTTAAATAAAATGAAGGGTTTGAAGTGATATCTTGCTTTGTTTTCAAGGGCTGTATATCTTTTAAATAAAATACTTTTGTGACCCCTGCTATTGGGAAAAAACGGCCAATTTACAGCAAAAAGCTGAAATGCAGGTAGGAGAAAATAAAAAAAAGTGTTAAAAATAAATCAAAAGCTTTATAAAACATGGAGATTTGAGACACCTACTTGAGTACAATCAAGATGACTCAACCCCACTGAACTGAACTGGTTTAGCTGCAACCTATTGAAAAAGGGGTGTTGTGTGGAGCTATTGCCTCCACACGCAATCACCCACCTGGGGCCCCCTTACCATCTCGTCAACGTTAAGGATACCGTGCCTCATGCAGGTGGCAACTTTCCCACGACACAAGTTTGATGAATGCTCAGCTTGAGCACCCCCAAAGGCAGAGGGAGGTGCACGGAGACGTATCAAACATGTCGGGTTTTGTAAAAGGCTGTGACTCATTCTTCCCAGGAACTCGGAAAGACGTGAAAAGTTTAAATAAAACTTATTTACAAAAAATAAACCCAGATCTAAGCTATAACATGCAGAGAGAGCCCAACCTCAAGCACTGTGTAAAGCGATGGGGTACATATGACAAACACGACAAATGTACACAGCTCATAGAGGGAAATAAAAAGACATGGGGTGACTGCGACACATTTCAGAGGTCAGGGCCTTCGAAAAGAAGGATAGCCAGGGACAAGGCTGCTGCTAGGGATCGGCCACAAGCCTATGTGACTAGCTGTATTTCTGCTCCAAGGCCTGAGCGGGGCTGTAATTCAAAAGGGGGTCAGAGGGATTTTCAAGGAGCTGTATGTCTTTTAAATAAACATAAAAGAACGAGGAGGACTTGTGGCACCTTAGAGACTAACAAATTTATTTGGGCATAAGCTTTGCAGTAGAAAATACAGTAGGAAGATATATACTGAGACTAATTGATTAAGGTGAGCTAT